ATATTTTGCCGTATAATGTGCTGCATTCTTCTTTAGAGGAATTCATACCCATGAGAGAATGTAATAGGAATTTTGTTTTGCTAAATATGCATTTATGTGCTTTCCTTCTCTCTTGTGCATACACATAAATGCAGGCTGGTAAGCTATGTAACTTTAAACTCTTCTGAACTACTGGACTATATACATCAGTGATGGTAGTTATGAAAATCTAAGCCACATACATCGATCAATCACATAAGTATTAATATTTGTTTCAGTGACATTTCAAATATTTTTTTCTCCCTGAGCAATCTTGAAATCTCATGTCATCTGGTAGTAATTGTGATGAACAGTAGATGCAAAGAGGTAATACAAAAAGAGAAATCCAATTTTGTACCCCTTCTAGGTAAAAACTGTAGAACAAGCCCTTACGTTATTTTCCTTATGTGGTGCCATATCCGCGATGCTATTTTTATGGAACAAATAGTCATAATCCACTTTGTATCATTACAAATGTATGATTTGTAAAGGAGCTGAGGGCTGAGGGACTTTAAATTTAAAATATAAGTCACACAAGCAGAGAGAAGCAAATACCCCAAGGGCAAGCAAAATGGATTCCTCAGAGGGGACAATTTTACACAGAGGTGGAGCTGTACTGGAAATACCAAGGATATTTCAAATAGTAGCAAGCGTGAGTGCCTAAGTGCACTGTTAGTTCCTTAAAGCAGATTTCACAATATGTGCAGATACATACAGAGGGAGTGAGGTATTTATTGATTTTTGTTTTTAAACTGACATACAATTTTCAAGTTGGTTTTTTTTTCTTCACATAAAAGGCCTCAGCAGTTTTCAGTTGTAGCAGCTGTACCTCCCTTTTCCAAGACTGCGAGAAATGCTGATGTTCCAGTTTTCATACTGGGGGGGCTTGGGTGTTGGATGTTTCAGATCAGATACTGGATTTTCTCATTCTGTGAGTTTGAGAAATTTCAAATACTGGTTCCGTTCTCATACACATAGCTCATGATTCTTCAGCAACATCTTATTCAACTATAAGATCAAGATCAAATTAATACATGAAGGTTTTTCATAGAATCATAGAATGCTTTGGGATGGAAGGGACCTTTAAAGGTCACCTAGTCCATCCCCCCTGCAATGGGCAGGGACATCTACAACTAGAGCAGGTTGCTCAGAGCCCCATCCAGCCTGGCCTTGAACGTTTCCAAGGATGGGGCATCCACCACCTCTCTGGGCAACCTGTTCCAGTGTTTCACTACCCTCATTGTAAAAAATCTCTTCCTTATATCCAGTCTGAATCTACCCTTTCTTCCTTATATCTAGTCTGAATCTACCCTCCTTTAGTTTAAAACCATTACCCCTTGTCCTATCACTACTGGCGCTGCTAAAAAGTCTGTCCCCATCTTTCTTATAAGCCCCCTTTAAGTATTGAAAGGCCGAGATAAAGTCTCCCCGCAGCCTTCTCCAGGCTGAACAACCCCAACTCTCTCAGCTGTTCCTCATAGGAGAGGTGCTCCATCCCTCTGATCATTTTTGTGGCCCTCCTCTGGACCCTCTCCAACAGGTCCATGTCCTTCCTGTGCTGAGGGCCCCAGAGCCGGACGCAGTACTGCAGGTGGGGTCTCACCGGAGCAGAGTAGAGGGGCAGAATCACCTCCCTCGACCTGCTGGCCACGCTGCTTTTGATGCAGCCTAGGATACGGTTGGCTTTCTGGGCTGCGAGAGCACATTGCTGCCTCATGTCCAGCTTTTTGTCTACCAGTACCCCCAAGTCCCCTAGTTTTTGCCACTGTCTGACTTGTCCTGGATTCACTCTGTGTTTTTATAACTGATTTCAGTATCAGAACATCCAGCTGCTAATTTGTCAAACGTTTTATGTTTCAAAACATGGCTGCATTTTCTTTTGAGCAAAGCTGTTTTACTTCTTCTTTCAAATGTGCCACATTTGTTCTGTGGTCCTTTGCCAAAGGGGTGTGGATAAGAACACAAGAGGGGAGAAGGGCAGGGTCTCCACAGAACCGTGGACAGCAGCTGAACTCTGGGCAAAAGAGCAGATCTGTGCCTTTGAACTCCATCTCCCAATGCCTGTAAGGAGTTTTAAGATGGTGCAACCATCTTAAAACAGAGATGACATTTTAAAGGAGTGCTAATCATCGCTGTACAATCTTACCTTTGTTTTTGCTTTTAATTCTACAAGTTACATATTTTACTGAATTAGCTAAGAAAGCATAAAAGGAAGAAGGATTATTTAATAATAATTTCTTACACAAACATATAGACAAGCCTACACACATATTTCAAAGCATCTTCATTTGTTCTAAAGTCTTTGTTTGACTTATGTGTACTTATATACAGAAAAAATGTCAGCATGAAAAATGGCAAACTCCTCAAACATCAGCTCTTTGTATTAGTTCCAACACTGATGACAGCACATAGTCATTCTCCCAGACAGAGCCGGTGACCCGGCACCGCTACGGACGTCTGACCTGGGTTCCATTGTGTTTTTTTCCCCATCAACAAAACCATCAGCTCAGCTCTAACTGCAAAAATCTTTATTATTATTGATGTATGAGAATGGGCAAAATGTAAATTAATAAACAGAACCTAGGTAGATTTTGCACTACCGGACTTTTGACTAATAATAACCTATAATTACAGATTAAACACAGTGGATCTGGAGGTTCATGAGAGACAGTAAGCATGGACTGCTAGCATATATATTTTTTTTCTTTTCTCTACAGCAACTTTTCATATTCTGGCCACTTTCCAAGAGCTCAACTTGTCAAAGAGGTTGCATCAAACCTGGAGACCATGCTGCCGTTCAGCACAATGAAAAGAAAAGTTACCCTAAAACAAGGTAAACACATAGGCACTCTATTAACACTGTGAAATGAACTTCACCTCAAAAGTTTACAATTGGAACAAAAGGTTGGAGGAAAAAAGTAGATGCCCAATGGAAACAATGACAGAGATCAGAACAGAATTTATGTCTGGCTGACTTCCGGACAATTGCTACACCTAAATCACACCTCTCCACACTCAAATGTGAAAAAGTAAACTGAAAAAGTACCCTTCACAATGAGACATGCAGACATACAAGGTCAATGTTCTATAAATTCTCAGCTTCAGAAGCAGAACTGCAGGACCAGCAATTTATAGGCAACTCCTGCTGATGTTTCTAATTGCTATAGTAGAGATTATGTGCCTTCTTCACAGCAGTAGCATGTAAAATCTCTTCTCCATTTCATCTGCTAAAGCTCAGCTAGCATGCCTGTTCCTGGGGCTCATTAGTGTGTGCTACAGATGTTGCTAGATAACCTTGCAAAAAAAAAAAAAATGTATGTAGTTGAGCCCTGGTCTCATTTGTTTTGAATAGATAGAACTTGTGCACCTCTTTCAAGCTGTACCTCTTAGTGGGGTGTTCAGTACATCATCTTCCCGGAGTTTGGGGGCGGCTTGTTTTCTTAAGCATTTCCTCCACAATTATTTGGCTTACAGGCACGGAAAAAATAACCTTTTGTTTCTGCCATTCGCCTACTTGTATCTCTGGTAGAGGCTGTGCCAGAGACATGACCAGTAATATTTATCTTAATGTCCAAGTAAGGAAAACATACCCAATGGATGCTTCTTTACCATTTTTAAATAAGTCACACGGTATTTGAACAGTGAGTATGCTACAAACATTTATCACCTAACACTATCACTTCCCACAGTCCTCTGGCTCCTTAAAGCTATTTTCGGGTCAATTATCCTAACTCTCATCTTCCGATGAGAAACTAATAAACCTCATGGGAAGACAATTCACTTTTCTTTTCCAGAGCATTATAAATTCTTGACATTTCTTAAAGTGAGGGTCAGGACTGTGGAAACTGTTGGAGATAAAACAGCATTACAGATGTGTGCCTTCTGTGCATCTGTGATACACATACCTTCACGCATAACAAATTTGCTCACTTCATAGGAATAGGAATAGGGAGGAAGGTAAATGATTTCCAGCAATCAGGTTCATATCATGGCACGGCTTTGCACTGAAAGATCAAGCTATGCTTTCCTTCCTGTTACTTGCATTGCTATCATTCAAAGGTCCCACGAAATACATGTAACCTGCCTCTTCCTCCAAATTCACATCAGACCCTCAATTGGAGTGAAGTAGCCTAATTCCATTTTGGAGGTGTGTTACGGATGTCACTTAGGGCACACATTGAGGACATCCACTGTTTAACAGTCTCTTGAACTGGAATTTCATTACCATCGTATCAATGCTGATCAGAGTTAAAAAGGCTATGTGGCATTCATAATCCACTGGTTCTGCTTCTCTGATTGCACACTCTGAATATGTGGACTACTGCTACCAACTCTTATAGGAGAGCTGAACTTGCACAAAAAATTAATCTTACCAAAGACTGAAGTCATACACAGCTGTGTGAACAGGACTGGGTTCTTCCTTGGCCCAGAAAATTCTCTTTGGAAAACTGTATAAATATTGGAATGCAAATTGAACCTGAACCCTCAAAACAACATAGGTTTGCTATTATGGTCACAGCGACTTTTATTTTAAGACCAAAGGCTCAAAATTATAAAGGAATACATAAAACTAGACTTCCCTTCCAGTCAGTTTTATAGGTAACAGAACATATTGAAATTGGTGATAAGAGAAATTCTTCCTTTGTAGAACTGACTAAATGCCAGCATCACCACTGTATTTCAAATGATACTAAGATCAAGGCAATCCAGATATTTTTGATTAAGCCAAACCATTAGCAATACTCTTCCTAACCAGCTTTTCACAAATGGAAATTCTCCAGAAACGCTTTGAAATCAGACATCAAAGTCAGAAAAAAAAAAGAAGACATTTTAGAGTGATAATAGGAAACATACAGAAAAACCTACAAAAACATGTCATTCTATGTGTTGCTGCCACGTGTTTTACTGCACCGTGGGTCAGCCAGTATAGCAGATCGTCCTGTCTAGGCTTCAGGGAGTGGGGGACAGCTGGAGGATTTTACCTGTCAAAAGAAGGCTTCTCTCCACAGTCAAATGCATCCTGTAACTCCTTGACAAGATTAGCCTGCCCAGGCAGTCGAAAAAGGCCTTCTTCCTTTAGCCCCCGCTGTCGGATAAAATCCACGCACTGTTCCACCAACATAGGAGCCAGGCGGTTCCCATATCGCTTTTCGTATCGGACAGTATCTTCCAGCTTCTGGCCAAAAATACCTGCATGAAAGAGAGAGATGTGACTTGGTTGAGATTCATAAAAACATTTGAGGGTCTTCCGTTACAACCTACGCAATTTATAAGTCATTTAAATGCATGGACAATTAACCTACTCCTTTCTTAAGAATAAAATGCTCAATTTCACCTTTGATACTCTCATGGAAATACAATGCTGACATATTTTACAACAATGCTCAAAAATATTATTTAAAATAAAATACTGTAAATGATTTTTCAGACCTTAAGCACAGAAAACATAGAAATAATACAGATAGGATTTTCCGTCACAAAACTTCTGATTCAAAACATCTCCATCTTCTTTGATTCATGCCTAATTATCTATAAAAAAATAAGTAGTTCCTGTATCAGTTGCAATGGCGTATAAACATTACCTTTACACATGGAGGGCAAAAGATCTATAAATATAACTCAGGATCTTGTTCCTACTAAACCAAATTATTACTTAGGTTTTCCTACATAAACAAAGACCGTTTCTATAATGTATTACCGATTGCATTATCACTGTCTGCTTTAGCAACAATAAATTTTGTGTATTATAAAAGATCCTGACATGAAAGGTGAAATATGTCAGATGAACTGCAGGAAACCTGCATTTGTACTTAACCTCAGAAGAACATGGGAGTTTTTTTGACAGAATTAACTTCAACTCTGATCTGAGGATATCATCACTACCACTGGAAAGACAGCTACTCTGCATAACTTATTTTGCATCTCCCTTTCAAACTGCAGAGCCAGCCATCATAGACAGCATCACAATAATGTTCAGGTATGTCATCTGTGATGGAAGCTCTCTCTTGAGACCACCATTTGTTGAATAGTATTGGGCCTGAAGCGAGACAATTCAATTTCTGTATATAGCAAGACAATGAATAGTTCTAAGGCAGTCACGAACAGAAACTAAAGACCAAAAAACTATCTATGCTTGGAAGTGTCCTTTTCCAATTATGTATGCTATAAAGTGGGAAAAAAAACCCAACAAAAAACCAGTAAGTCAAAATGTGCCCTTCACTGAGCACACAGTTCCTACTGGTTTAAAAATATTCAACAAGGAGAACAGAGTTGTTCTGGTTTGCTTTTTCTAAAAAAAGCCCAAAGTGGAGCTGGTCAGCTTTTGCTTTTGGCCCAAAAACTTCATTCACACATAAATTACAATTACATGAACAAGTAACCACAAGCTAAGGTAGCATTCAGATTGAAGCATCCTTCAGGGTAACCTTCAATGTGTACTTGTCCTCCAACAAAAGAAAGATAATTCACATCTCAGTTGTAGGGAGGAAAGCTGCCTTGCATACGCTCCAGGATGTTATGGGAAGTGGGTAACAAGCCGTCAGTCGCCCATACTGAAGGTCTGGGGTTTGCATTTAAGTGCAATTACTTTTACCGTAGCACAGGAAAGAACTGGAGAGAGTAACTGATGTCCAGCTAAGACATCCAGAAAGTATTCTGACATGCGGAACAGCATATTTTGTTATTTCCATGGTACCCACACTGGTGGATGCCAAAACCAGCAGTAGGTAACGGGACTGAACATCACACAGTTACTCTTTATTAGCTCACTTTTTTTCATGTTGTACAAAACCCAAAACCCAACAATTAGCAATTAAAGAAGGAATTTTTGAAACTTCAGAGTGAGTCAAGCCTAGAAGAACACTAACTGATGTGGAATACTTGGTGTCCACAAAGTTCAGCCTCTTCATGCTGGCAGAGGAGTTAAAGTATGTTTTCTTAGTTCTTACATACCTTCCTAACCTCCTGCAAACTGCCTATGGGGATGGCAGGAGTACTAAATGAATTCGGGTTTCTTGTATTTGTCTGAGTTAAGGGTTGCTGTTGGTCAACACAGAGGAAATCATCAAGCCTCTCAATTTTCTAGACCCTCCTTCTGAAAGCAGTGGAATTAAGGAGGAAGGTTCACTGCAAGTCAGTTAAGGAATCTGTGTGATTATGAAAGTTTGGGGATTTCAAAGTCCTTAATATACAAGAAGGCTGCTGTTCAGTGTCCCCAAAATTGTCCCTTCTCCTGGCTGAACAAGCCCCACTTCCTCTGCCTCCCCACAAAGGGCATGTGTTCTAGCATCTTGGTGGCCCTTTGCTCAACTCCCTCCAGTTTTATCTCCCCCTTGCCCCATGGTTTTTTTTTTAATGGACACAGTATTTGGCAAGAAGGCTGCTGTTCAGTGTCCCCAAAATTGTCCCTTCTCCTGGCTGAACAAGCCCCACTTCCTCTGCCTCCCCACAAAGGGCATGTGTTCTAGCATCTTGGTGGCCCTTTGCTCAACTCCCTCCAGTTTTATCTCCCCCTTGCCCCATGGTTTTTTTTTTTAATGGACACAGTATTTGGAATACAGTCTAAAAATGCTGAGCAGAGGGGGTTAATCACTTCCCTCCCTCTGCTGGCTCTGCTCCTGCTGATACTGCCCAGACTTCTGTCAAACCTTCCTTACTGCCAGGTCCACTCCTGGCTCATGTCCAGCTTACTGTCCCCCAGGGCACCCAGGTCCTTTCCGTAGAGCTGTTTCTGTGGGGTTATTCCTTGTTAGGTGTAGGACTTGGCCATCCTATTCCTGTTTGTCCTATGAACATACAGTCTGAGCTTCCCTTCAAGAGCCCATGAGATCTCTTGGTTTTAAACACAACAGGTTTTGCCTCTTTTCAAACAAAATTAATCAGTATAAGATAGGATATTCCAATTATATGATGTACAGTTACAACTCATGCCCACCGACAGTACAATTAGTATGAGTAAGCTTTGTCCTATTGGCTATACTTTCTTCTCTCCATGCTAACATTCTTTAATCAGTAATGTGCATATTGCAGCTTACATTTGGAGAGGAAAGAGTAAGTTCTCAAACCTACCAGACTGCTTTGAAACTCCTATTAGTAATGACACCGCAGTCAAAACACATCACTTTCTATTAATACATTTTTGGGGATGCCGCCTTTTTTTCCCCTTCATTTTAGAATTGGCTTTCAAAGCATGTCTAATAGATAACGAATAAAATCAGAATAAGGGTTTTTTTGCACAGTGGGAGCAAAAACCCTTCCTATATTATTATAAATTGCAGATGCACCACAACACAAAATGTATTGAAAACATGTGGCAACCATAAAGCATTAAGATGTCTGTAACTAGTGTCAAAGAGTATTTTTTAAGACAAATAGAAAGTAACGAGTGATTCACATACATAAGGTGACATATATCAAATGGGTATGACAAACTTGGTTCTGTATTGTAGCAGCAAATCACAGGTACTGAATGAAGAAAACCTTAAAAAAACTATATCTGAGGAAAAATAAAACCTGATATGATGGAGGGGTAACCAGTGTCAAGAAAAAAAAAATAGCCCAAATTGGAGCCTAAAATTTCCTGGTTCTGGTCCCTGAAGTGTAAACATTAAATTGTTTCTACTACTGACTGCAATAAGGTACATTGTAAATTAAGGGACTTTTATTGAGACACTTAAAATACACATAGCTAGGAATGCCTGAAGGATAGACAGAATAACTACAGCAGTTTTCTTAGATTTGACAGATTGGATTCAGATCCTACACAATTCTCAGAACACAACTGTATCGAGTATGACCACATATATACTTCATGGCCAGAGGGGCAGGTGTATGCCCCACCATCCTCACATGTCAGATAAAGCCTTAGGGACTCGGCTCCCCATCTTTATGAATGGTGATAATACCATATCTACCTCACAAGCATGAGGACCTCCACACTCAGCTTTAGGAAGCTCATAGCTAGCATGGTAATTCTGACAACCATGTAATAACCTAAAGTTAAGACCTAAGTCTCATGGAAAATCACAATGTCACACCTTGAAGTGCTTCTGAAGTTACCTTTACTACACTCTGCATTCTCCAATTTGTTTGGCTTTGGAATTCATCTCAGGCAGGCTTGGTTTGGTTTCAAAGTCTAGGCTGAACTCCTCCAAAGGAAGTATTTCCTTCACCTAACAAATGCAGAACACTGCACCAGGCAGCACTTGGCCATGAAAGGAATCAGTCACGATAAGCCTGCATAAATATTGACTTGAAGTTACAGACCTGCTGATGCCTTATGGAAAAAGCACTCTGTTGCCAGGGGCAGAAGTGGCAGGAACATGACAACTCTGCTTCCACATCATGTTGTCATAACTTTTACCTTGTTCATCATCTTTCTGGTGTCTGTTGGGTTTTTTTCACGGTTTTGGAATAAAAGCCATGATCATGGCCTATAAGGTACACCTTCTTCCACTGTCCCTTTCTAATGCTTTTATCCCCTCTTACGTCACAACTAACTACTACAGAGATATTGCAGATTAATAGCTTATGAAGATTAATACATTGACTACTATGAAGCAAAGGCAATGCTGTGAAGAATTGTGGTTGCAAACATACAGTTACCTTAGTGGCCAGCAGAGGCAGACAATGGTGAACACTATCAGCTATACCTGGTAACTACGAGCATCTCCTTTACAGAGAAGCAAGGAAAAGACAGTCCAAGTTATGGAGACTACAACATAACCAAAACCACAGAGATCATTTCACATGCTGTTTTTTAAAAGTAAATTTCCACTACAGTAACTAAACAAAAACACCTCTGTGGAGAAGGAAATAAAAGATACTCATAACTCATGTTGTTATCCAAACTCCAGTTCTCCTCCTAAATCTCCATGTCTCCAAAATCCAGAAATGCATAGATGCGCAAGTGCTGACCTGTGGTTTGGTTTATCCTTGGGACAGGGTGCCAGAGGGGAAACAAACAAAACCAACAGGAAACCTTGAGATTCAGAATGGCAGCAGCTTGGCTTCCCCACAGCTGGCGGAAGGCAGGAAAACGTACAGGATTCCAGTTCTGACCAGTCATTAGATTTAATCAGCAGAACTGCTTTTTCGGAGAGGCCCTTGTAGGTCTTTAAAGCTATATCCAATTAAGCCAAGATCACGCATAACATCAAAGAGGAAAATCACATGCTAGTAAAGGGCATGCC